GAACTCATGTTCACCCACTTGGGCATAACTGAGCCCCTGCTAACAACACATGCTCTGAGGCCATGGGTCGTGGGCGGTGGATCCTGGCTCCAAATCCAGGCTGTCTGCCTCTGGGCCCAGGCCGCTCCCTCACCGCTCCCCAAGACTGCCTCTTTCTCATCTTGCCTTCCTGCAGCTGTGGTTCCTTCACGCCCTTCCATCACGCTTAGGCTAAGGCACATATCCCTTCGGGTGGCACCCCAAGTGTTTCACGATCTGGCTCTCGCTGTCCCCCAACTCCAGTGACAGTGAACCCCAGATGCCTGCTTACGATCCGCCAGATTCCCTCTGGCCCCATGCCTGCTCACCTTATTCACTAGGCTTAACCTTTAAGACCCAGCCTGGGCATCAGGCCTCCATGCAGCCCTGCTTTTGTGCTCTCCTGGCGCTCTGGACATAAGCCTCCAAAAGTCTTCCATAGTCGGGAGGAAAGGGGAGTGGCCCTTCTTCCAGTCCATGGCACATGCATGCATGACAGCAGAGTCCTCGCTGAGAACCCTCGGCTAGCTGGGCTGAGCTTGCACGCCTGCTTTGTTTCTTTCCTACTACCCACCTGTGTATTTCTTTGCTATCCAAATCAGAATTCTCTTTTCTTAACAGACACCCCTCTCCCCCTGGTTCTAATTTCGCCACTTCTTTTGAAGGTTGCTTCTGAGACACTGGCTGCTTCTGTCTACCTGGCACCTGCATCTGGTCACTTTCCGGGCCCTGGAGGTCCTTTGGGAAAACACCCATTGTCCAGTTTTGTGCATGTGATTCCGATGGCAAAGACCTCACTTCTGGGCTTTACAGTTCATTTAAGAGCCAGGCCTGACAAAAGTCCTTAACGCCTCCAACAGGCTCAAGGGGTGAACAAATGACCTGAGTCAGTTCTAAGAGACACCATGTTGGGGCTGAGATGGAACACTTAAGGAAATTTCTCTTCCCTTCCACGGGGACGGGAGGGTGTATGTCTCATGTGGACCAGAGGCCACCATGTGGAAACAGAGGGCCTCAGAGAAAAGCCCACACGGGGAGAGCAAATCTGAGACAAGAGGGAGAGAAACACAGGCACACAACACAAGCCGAGCCCTGCTGTTCTGTCTGGTTCCTTCTCGCCAATCTAGCGGGGCCTCGTGCGCCAAACTTTTCAATTCCGTGCATCAATGGATTTTTTTCCCCGTGAGCGTAAGGCCGCTTGAAATCGGTTTTTGTCAAGTCCAACACTGTGGATGCTGCTGCTGCTCACTTCGTGGCCCGTAGTGGGCACTCAACCAACACTGGGTCCTCTACCTTCCCTGGCCAAAGACAGCAGGGGACGCTCAACAGGAAGGCGCTGGCACAACAGGCCCACTGACCCCACCTCCCGTGGATTTGGCCGAACGTCAGTTGTGCTAAGCTATCATGGGATGTATGTGTGAGACATGCATCTTAGTGATTCAAGAAGGTTATGGATTCTAATGTTTGTTTATTTTTGACAGAAAGAGAGAGAGAGAATGAGCAGGGGAGGGGCAGAGAGAGAGGGAGACACAGAATCCGAAGCAGGTTCCAGGCTCCGAGCTGTCAGCAAAGAGCCTGACGCGGGGCTGGAACCCATGAGCCGCAAGATCATGACCTGAGCCGACGTTGGACTGAGCCACCCGGATGCCCCGAGGAAGGTTATGGATTCTAGAATGAAAATGCCCTGTATTCAAAACCAGGGTTCACCCCACTTCCTCCAGGACTCTGGGCCAGTTGCTTGACCTCCCTGAATTCCCAGTCCCTGGTTTTTTAAGTGGGATAATAGCACCTGCCCTAAGATTTCTTCGGAGAATCACCTAAGACGGTGCCCCCCAAGTGCTCGGCATGGTTCCTGGCACTAAAAGGGGACTCGGAAAACCTTAGCCAGCACTCGTGGAGAAAAAGAAATCAGAGACCTCAGCTTTCATCCTGGATGCATTCAACTGCAGGGTCCACGACTCCGAGTGACCACACTCAGGGACCAGAACAAGAGCTGCAAACAGTCAGTCCTTCGGTGCAGAAACTGCCACCACACTGAGCCGGCTGGAACCCCTGGGTGCCAGGCCTGCCACTGAGGAACCAATCCAGAAGGTGTTGATCTGCCTCAATGCTCCACTTACGTCAAGTCAGCTTGCCAATCACCCGCTCTCACTGTGCCTCAAAAGGCAGAAAAGCAACACTGTCAAAACCGCATTGCCGGCAGGAAATGCCTGTCTCTTCCGCATTGACCCATTTTCTGTGTGAGCTCCCCAATGCTTCCTTCTTTCACATGAATAAAACACAAAAAAGTTGGGACAGAAAACAGGTCCTGGTCTCCTCTAGGCTGTTCTCCTGCTTAGCCGACTCATCCGTTCTAATGCTAATTCAATGTTACTTTCCTTCATCTCTAAGAATTTTTCTCCGTCGCATTCACTTTTGTATACGGGCACTCAGAGTCTAGCAAAAGATCACGTGCACAGTCTGCTCAAGTTTAAGCTTCTGGTTATTTTTTTTTAAATTTATTTATTTTTTAAATGTTATTTTTGATGGGGAGAGAGGGAGGGAGAGGGGGGAGAGGGGGAGAGCATGAGTAGGGGAGGGGCAGAGAGAGAGGATCTGTGCTATCAGCAAAGCCCAAGGCGGGGCTCCAACTCATGAACTGCAAGATCATGACCTGAGCCGAAGTCAGATGCTTAACTGCCTGAGCCACCCAGGCGCCCCACTTCTGGTTAATCTAGCTTTCAATACATACACATAGAGAAGGAAGACCTAATTTTTATACACAAATCGTTATTATTCAATACATTTTCTATTCAGACTGAGTTTTTCTAAGGAGTATTATCCTTTTCTGATGGGAAAATGCATCTTGAATGGAAGGGCTGTAAAGCTGTCTTTACCCGATTATACAGTCCTTTCCTCCACGTAGCTTGTAGTGTGGACCTGTGTGTTTTGGCTGGCCGGGTTCCCTTGCAGGCTTGGCCACATTTCCCATGGCCTTTCTTGGTCACAGTGATCTATTCTCAGCAGGGGGGAGGGGTGCATAGGACCAAGACGGGCCAATCGCAAGCAGCCCTGAGGTTTTTGCTACAAGTGCTCAGCACGGGAACCGTTTCACACTGCAGCTGGTATACAACGGTCACCGGTGTGGGGCAGCCGTGCACCGTCTCCGCGCCTCCGTGGGGAGGGTGTGCAACTCAAACCACACAGTCCCGAGCACGGCCAAGACAGCAGTGCGCACATCTCTTTTTACTTCTGCATACACAGACCTGTGTTCGGCAGCTTCCAATATACCAATGGGCTCCAGACCAGTGTGTGTTTGCAAACCACTTGTCCTGGAGAAGGAGCAACGTGGAGGTGGGGCTAGCGTTCCAGGGCTTATCCCTGACACCATGAAATTTGTGATCCAGCAGGTCTGCAGAACTAAGAGTGTTATAGGTGCCATCAGACACTCAAGGAAGCTGCAGATGAATCCTTATCTCCTGGTTCTACTGAATTAGAACATACGGCCTATCTGCCAGCAGACTCTGTCCATCCCACCTTCAAAATGTATCTAAATCCAATGGATTCCTACCATCTGCATTGCTACCCTCATCACCTCCTTCTGGACTAGTTCAATCAGTCCCTCAGATGGTCTCTTTGCTTCTGCCCCTGATCCTCTCCAAGCTTCTTGCAACATAGCAGCTAAGTAATCCAGAAGTTAGATCAGAACACCCTTCTGCGGCAAATCCTACTTATCTCAGGGTGAAAGGCAATGTATTCAGAATAACCCACAAGGTTGTACTTGACAGGACTCTCCTCTACCCCATTTCTTCCTGATGCCCTCTCCGACCACTCTCCCCCATGCTCACGTGCTCTGGCCACACTGACCTCTTAGATATTCCTGAAAAATACCAGGCACATTCCTGCCTCAGGGCCTTTGCACATGCTGTTTCCTCCACTTGCAACTTGCCCTACATGGAGCCCATTTGAGTGTCTTTGGATCTTAGTCCCTTTTAGATCTTAGCTGAAATATCCCTTGCCACTTAGGGCTGCTTTAACTACTCTGAACACTCCCCATCAATCCCAGAATGCCTCCCCTCTTTCCAGATTTAGTTTTCTCCTTTACGCACTGGACACCGTCTTAAGTATCCTAGATTTTACTTATGTGCTTTGTTTATGGTCTGTCTCCCCCACTGAAAAGTAACCTCCGGGAGAGAAGAATGTCTGGCATATAACAGGAGCTCAAAATTAATTGCAGGAAAGGCAAGAAGGAAGCAAGGGATGGAAACAGGACGCCTGCTCATCATGGAGGAAGCTTGTTCAAGGCCAGAAGCCTCCTACACTAGTCTGAAAGGTTAAGGTAGCCAGGCCAACCTACCTTGCTCAGTTAAGCTGGCTTGGAGAAGGTAGCTGAAAAATGCAGAACTGTTAAGCAGAAGCTGCAAGAAGGCTTCCCAGGGGAAGTAGTGAGAACTAGTTCAAGGACAACGATAATACAGGGAGGACTTAAAATCAGCCGTTTTTATATTCCAATGTATTAAACGCCACGGAATACGCTAAAGGTTTCCCTACCACCGGATTTTCAGCAAAAGGCTGTGACAAAAATTTTCAGGTCAAGGAAGGTCATTAGGTAGATACAGCAAAGTGAAACATGGCCCCTGAGAAGCTGGAAACGCTACGAACCTCATTAACTCATTTCCCATAAACTAAAACTTCAGGTGGAAATGGGATTTCAATCTAGCAAATACCAACGCTGGGATCCGAACCCGGATCTGCCGGATTCCCAATCGAAAGCTCCTGTGGCACTAAATCTCAAGCTCATCCTAAGTGCCTTGATCTCAGAAGAGGCTCCAGCCCAGCAGCTGCTTCCAGATAGAGCGGATCCCCCCGATGGTGACCCCAGCAGCACTCCAGCCGCCTCACCTTACTGAATGAGAAGCCACGGGCTCCCCTCCCCGGGCAGCGTGCTTGCGGCAGAACCCAGCCCACACTTCCCCTCTGTGGGTGCAGCCTGGCTTACTCACCTCCAATAAACTAGCACAGCAATGAGAAGGATGAGGCACACGAAGGTCAAGGCTGATACCACAATCAGAGGGATGATCCACTCCATCCTCCCTGGAGAAGGACGGCTTATCATTCCAGAGGTGTTCTTTTCTGCTGCAAAGAGAAACCATGGCAGTTAGAGGAGGGGCTGGTGGAGACGGGGAACAGGGAGCCAGAACAAGATACGGAGCTCTGTTCCAGTTTGGGGTGGTTTCCAGAGGACGGAGTTGCCTGCTTCGGCTACCCTAGGATAAGAGTGGTCACCTGTAGCTGGCACCACTTCCTACCAAGTCCCAACCCAAAAGGCGCTTTTTCCGGCACTGCCTGTGGGACGGACTCGCGGGTAGAGGTCAAGGTGTTCTGACACAGAGTTGTGTAAAAGACACACATCCAGCCTCACTCGAGAGCATGGTGACCCACAGCAGCATTTGGATACACCGAAGAAAGGTGCTCCAGTCTGAAGGCAGCATCGCACTTGCCTCTAGAAAGGGACCAGGGCTGGGGGAGGTGGCCGAGAGCCTCTCAGGGTCCAAACTGCCAGGGCCGGAGGGAGGGCCTGAGGGGTTTTACTAAGATAAGCAGCTACAGCAACAATGGTTATATTCTTCACCTGCTCAGCACCCATCACCGCTTCCTCTAGTACCTGTACCCCATTCTGTTTTGCCAAACCATCTCTCCCTGAAAGACAGAGTCATAGTGGGACAACCAACCAAGCATGGGACTCCCAGTCTCCCAGGCAAGGGGGGGCGACTGGGCATGGAACTCCAGGCAGAGCAACAGCTCTCACCCTGGAGTCCCGGCCCACGACTCACAAGACTGAATTATAGAACAATCCAGCAGGAACACCCAGGGGCCACCTACCCAGCAGTTCCTGCCACCCGGATCCCCCGAGATCCCGTTTCTCCAGGTTCTCCTCTTATCCCCATCCTTCTAAAAGTTCAAGGACAAGTGGGGATAGGAAGCCATGCCTCGCTCTGGTCCCAGCACACATCTGCCTCTGAAGAGCAGCCCATCTAGGGGTTCAAAGGAAAGTCTGAAATGATGTAGGCTTTTCTCTGGTCCACAGATACCTCTTACCCAAGCAGCTCTTTCCGCTGGCTCTTGCAGGCCCCGGAGGATCTTCACAAGTCCCCAGGAGGCTCCGGAAGAAACCTACCCTCCTTTAAACCGCGGGGGAGATGCCTGGAAATCTCCAGGTGGCGCAAATGGAGCTCAGATGCAGCGTGGGGCTGGGAAGAGCAGGGGTGCCCGCAGCCAATCATGGGAGGCAGGTGGCGAGAAAGCAAAGGTTAACTGTGATCGCAGGGAGAAGCCCCTGGAAAAATCTACAGCTGGCTGCAGGCTGACTGGTTCTCAGCAAGGATCCTTCTGCTCTGCAAAAAGTAGGCCAGCGTTCAGCCAGCCCAGAGTGTCCCTCTGCAGGGTGGCTTAAATGCAGGGCTCATCAGGCTGGGTTTCCAAGTCATAGAAGGTGGGCTGCCCAGGAAAGAAGGAATTGGCCCTGGGACCAGATTTATAAAGAGGCAAGTCTCCTGAGTAATGAAGACGCATGTTAGGGAGCTTTTCACTGGCTTCCTCTGGTTTACTTTGATCCCCTCTTTTGTTTCCCGCACGGGCCTGTCAACACGCAGGGCCAGCCTGATGCCAGCTCACAGGTAAGAAGACAGAGGCAGGCAGGTGAGGCGCACTGTGATGAAAAACCGTAACACGGCACTTCACGGTTTGTAAAGTATCTTCCTCACTGTGCCAGCCCATTTCTCTTGACCCCTTGCTCCACAATTTCTCATTAGATAGCTATTTGCCAAGTCCCTAGTGTGTGCCAGACGTGGTCCTAGGGGATGGAGACACAGCAGGGTGTCAGATGAAAACAGTCCAGCGCCGTGGGGCAGGCATCACGTAAAGGGGGAGAAGCAGACATAAGAACATGTAATTAGGATGAAATGGATGTGATGCTAAGGAGAGCCCAGGGGGTCTGAACAGGGGAGGAGCTGTCCTGTCTTTGGGATTCTGGAGGGGGCTCCTTGACACGGACACCTGAAGGGTGAAGGGGAGTTAGCCAGGCTGAGCCCAGAGGGAGAAGTGTGTTCTGGACCGAGAGCATGAGAACGGGGGGAACCACGATAGAGAGGCAGAGGCCACATCAGCCAGGCCCTATACGCTGAATTAGGAACAGGTTCTAGTCCCAAGAGGATTGGAAGCAGGGTTGTGAGCTGAGGCTTACAAAGATCCTATGTGTCACCCCTCCCTTGACATAAAGCTTTAATAGCAAAGCTCTGGTGAGGCTGAAAGAACCACAGTCACAAATGAGAAGGATTTTGCTGGGCTACAGCAGGGGGCAGCCCAGCCAGGCAATTATCTGGCTGATGGCCGGGAGTATCTTAAAAACCGGAAGGTCCTGTTCATGGAAAACGTGGCGGGAGGGTTGCATTACAGGCCACGTGTCCAAGTGAATTCAGTATCCTCCCTGGGAGGCCTGTGCAAACCGGGTGAACCCCCAATATCTTATTTCTCTCTGTGCCTCTTGACAAAAAAGTACCCTTTGCCTGGGCTACTACAAGGTAGGCAGGCAGGGGAGGAGGCCAAATGCTGATGCCAGGTCCTGTTCATCCTGAGACACTGAAAAGGATGCTGGGCCGAAACAGCCCCTCACGCCCGTCTGTCACTGTGACACCCATTCCAGTTCCAACAGTCATTGGAAACACCAGCTCTGGGGCATCTCTGCCAACCTAAAACCAGTGAACAATGGCCACCCCAGAACTTCTCAGCCTTCTAAGTCCCGGTCTAGCTGTGAGGGTCAATGGCATATCCCGTTGCCCCAGAAATCTCATGTGTTGGTGGTTGTGTCTGTCCCTCCCTCATCCCCCACAAAGTGAGAGGGCAAGTTTGCATCACACTGTTGGGGAGCCTCAAATCTCAGAAAAGTCTTGCCACAGGAGAGAATGGAGGTCTGCAGAGTAGGGGTCTTGAAGTCACAGCTGGCCTGGGGCCAGGCGAGGCTCAATCTCCGCTTTCACGACTGAGTCATTCCTCTGACATCTCATAGTGCTCGCGTGAGAATTTTGTTCGAGGGGGTGGGGAAGTGACCCTCATCCGCAACACCTTGCCCGGTGAGAGACCTCTAAGACAATGCTGTCCTGACGGCAGCTGGATTTGTCCAGGTCTCTCCCCTAAAGGCCAGGCAAAAATACAAGTGCTGTTGGACTGCCATGAGAGGCATGATAAAGTTGACCTGATTGTCCTATTTACGGGATTGCTTTGTCCTCGTGGTACCAGGAGCCCGGAGTTTCATCCCATGTGCACACAACCATGTGAAACCGTGTGCCCTGTCCTCAGGAATTCCTCACTGCTCTCAGGGACACCATGGTCTTCCTGCCCACCCATGACCTCCTGCCGCTCCCCACCACTGTGCTCCAGGAGCACCCGTCCAACCAGGGACCATGCTGGGCCACAGTCCCACCTTTCCACCTTTGTCCCTGCCTTGCCTTCCCACTGCCAGGAATGCCATTCCCCCTCTGCCCCCAGAAGCTCCCACTGCTCCCTAAATCTGGGCTCAGGGACTACCTTCTCCATGAGGCCTCCCCAGGCCCTCAGTCTGTGCTATCTCTGGAAGGCAGAACAGAGTTTGAGATCACAGGTTCAAATCCTGGCTCTGCTACTTTCTATGTGACCTTTTTTTTTTTTTTAATTTCAGAGAGAGAAAGAATGCGCACGTGAGTGGAGGAGGAGCAGAGGGATTGAGAGAGACAGAGAGAGACAGAGAGAGAGAGACAGAATTCCAAGCACAGGGCTCGATCCCACACCCTGGGATCACCATCTGAGCCTACATCAAGAGTCGGATGCTCAACTGACTGAACCACCCAGGCGCCACTATGTGACTTCTAACCAATAACCTGAATCATTTCGGGCCTGGCGTTCTTCATCTATAAAAAGGGCTAAAATAACCCTGCTTCACGGGGCGGGGTGCAACATTCATTGGGAAGATACACACAGAACGCCTAGGAGTGTGCCTGGCATTGAGCAATGCTGTGCACCTACCCTCGTTCTCACCAACACCTTCATCATGCACTTCTCTTACTGCACACGCCACGCTCCGTTATAACTGCTCTTCTCATTACTAGAAGGTCCCCGAAGGGAGGGCTGACTGCCATCTGTACGTGGAAGAACAGCAGTGAAGCTCTGTCTCCTACCAGCTGTGCAACTCTGGGCACGTGACTTAACCTCTCTGTGCATCAGTTTCCTCATCTGTGAATGGAGAGAATATTGCCTACTATGCTGCGGAGCGTGAGGATTATGTGAACTAGTGCATATAGAACACTTAGAAGGTTGCCTGGCAGCCATCAGCACCTCGTTGATGTTATCGGTGGGATTATCGTCATCACCGTCCCTATCCTCTCCCTCGCCAACACCCCAGCAGCACCACTCGGATGCTGAGGGCTTCCTGGGTGTCTGCAGCATGAGATCCCCATGTCGTATCTGAAAGCCTAAGTGCCAATCACACAGGAGGTTGCCTGTGAGAAGGCACAACCTCAAAGTTTGCCCTGAGATACGACTGCACCACACTTCTTGCTGTCCTTTGGGAGAAACACCTGTCCCGCTGCCTGACTCAATCCGTGGCCCTCGGAGGACAAAGTCTAACAACACCAGAACTGGTGTTGAACTACCAGAAACTACCAGGTACATATAACATGCTGCCTGGGCTGGATATACACTCTCTTGCTCCCGTGACTTCTTCAGTCCCCTGACAATCTTCCCCACGCTACAGCCCCCAGAGACTGGAACATACTGTGAAATTTCGGCACAACCAACAAACATCCTCCATTTCAGAGTCAGGCAGACCTGATTACAAATTCTGGCTCAGGCCTTTCTAGCTGTGTGACTTTGGATAAGTGACTGCCCGTCTCTGAGCCTCGGGTCCCTCCCCTATCAAAGGGAGACATGATAATGCTCATTCACCTCTCAGAGGACTTCTAAGGATTAAATGAGATAAACCAATGTGAAGCAGATGATGCAAATTATGGCTAGCTAACTGATAGAGCCAGATGCAAGATGAAATGGGTCCCTGATTGAGTTATTATATGGGAGCTTCAAGATGGGGCTGGGGAGGTGGAGGGCAA